ATCCGCGTGTGCACCTAGGATGCAACGGCGCAAGTCTACGTCAGCAACCTCACAATTTAGTTGCCCGCGACTGGAGCATAAATGCCCCATTAAAGATTTAGATCGATTAGAAAAGGTTAGGGACGCTAAACTTGAGTGTGGTTGCAACTACGTAGCCAGCTGTCTCCCGAGATACTGCATCCTCACCCCTCCCCATGAGCTCCCGGCGCATGTACCCTAAGTGTCGTGAAAGAGGAGCTAACTAGCCCATCCTCTTCTTTTAGTTGAGCAAACTTTGAACGCGCTGCGCCGTTGGGGAACAAGGATGTAGCGCCTAGCGAACACTGGGTAGGTGATCCACGTCCCCTGTTTATGGGGCGGCCCGACTTCACATTTGCTTATGTTTGACATTTATTAGAAGATAGCAGCACCCCTCACTACCTAAGCTGCACACGAGGAACTTGCAGTACTGTTCATAACCGCCGACGGTCGCCTACACGGAAGAATTTGGGACAACAACGCAGAAAGTGACTAGTGCATCAGTTGATGGAGGTTTTTAATAGTTGGTGAGGGTGCAATAACATCGGTTTCTTTTGCATCTTTTGCGCCCTACAGACAGCCAGTCTAGTCTCGCGCGGTCGAGGCGAATCGGCCACAGTTTGTTGTGGAATGCCTCGGGATGCTGCGGAGTGGGCCACAATTAATTGAAATAGGCTGTATAATGTTCAATACTCCTGGAAACCATGCATTTCATACCATTCCACGGTCGCTGCATGGTGTAAGAGCACTGCGGTGCCGAACGAGGTCCTGTTGGACACCAGCTGCAGGCCGGCGTCCTGTCTCAACTCAGCGATAAGCGCAGAAAAACACGTATTTACTAGTCATTATAACATTCTTAATAAAGCATAACCAGGTTTTTGAATGAGAAATGGGCGCCCTTTTCCCTAGCAAAAAGCCTGTGCCTCGATGTCGGCAGTGGGAGTGCAAGACAAGCATATTTGCATTCGTGTTCTGCGAGCTCATTGCTTCGGTGTCAATGTGCCCCCACCATGTCTAGAATATTTTGTATTGTAATAACAATACGTATTGTTCTTTGTTCATTTGCCGTGTGCTGGGATCGCAAGAGGCCGCGCAACTCACTCGCAATGCACCGGCCTGCCCACCAGGAACGGGAACAGCGTCATGTGCACCGCAGGCGCCGACTGCCTGAAAGCCGCTGCAACAAACAATAAGGTCATAGTTAATGCGATTTGAATAGGGTTAATATAACCTGATGATCCTTTGAGTTGCATCTAGGCTTCGTGTTCGACTACATAAACAACCATAGGGTGACAATGGCACCTCTCAAACTGCTCACAGTCGTCAGTTCCTCCCTCCTCTTCCTGTCCAAAGCGAACGGCGAGCCCGCAGCCCAAAAGACAACTTATACAGTAGACTTGGGTAGGCTTGCCAGTAACAAGCGTTCTCTGCCTGGCATATCTCCTTGGGTGGCAAGAAGCCATCACTTGTCAAGGCCACCGTAGTTTTCCAAACAG